GACCACCCCAGTGAGGTAGGAGATCAATACTCCTCCCCTCCCCCAAGAGAAGCTGAGGTAAAGTCACTCGAGTACCTGGACCCCGACCTCTGGGGAAATGGGATAAAGGAATTTGGCTGTAGGGGAGGTCTGAAGAACCTGTCTTGCCCAATCCCCCTGTTATTAGAAGCAGTGCAAGGTTGAAATTCATTTCATAGGGAGGAAGCCGTTCCTTACTCCTTTTGGTCCAAAGAATTGCTACTTCTGGGGCAGTGGGGCAGCTGACCCCTTGAGGGACAAAGGGACACCACACACACTCCCTAAAAGCTGCATGGGATGTGGGAATCTGAGGATCAGGTCTCAAATTCACACCCAAAGATTTTGGGGGAACAAGGTTAAGAAGGGCATGTAAGAGCTCAGAGGTTCTAAGGAGAGAAATCATGAAGGATGTTTGTCAAACATCAAAAGACTCAATAGATTTTTTTGAAGGATATATCCTGGGCCAGCAGAATGTTTATCTGAATCGCTGAAATGTGAAATTATAAAGGTCATGTCAGAAACACCATCCAGGGATAGAGATGGCGAGTTGTATGGGCCTGTGGTGCCCGGGGTCCAGGAATATTCAGGGCTGGGGGCCCTGCGCCACCAATGTTTGGAGCTCGGTCTCTCCCCTGGCCCTGCCTAGAGCAGCCCCTGGCCCCTGCCTGCCCCCTCGCACGCCTCACTCGGGCCCCGGAGAGTCCCCCCTGCTGACCCAGAGGTCCCTGCCTGAATGAAAGCGGCAGGGCTCTGCCTCACCTGCCTGCTGCTGCCTACGGCTACAGCACAGCACAAGAGCAGTGCTGGTGGCAGGCTGAGGCAGCTGGCGGCTGCTGCTGCTAAACCTCAGGAGGGGGAGGGGGCACACACATGCTTGGCAGCCCTCCCCTCCCCCTGCACCCACCGTGAAGGGACACTGCCGAGGGGGCTTCTGACGGGAGACAGCTGGAGTGGACCTCACCCACCTGAACAGCAGCTGGGGCTTCCGTGAGTGTTTGACCCTGTGATCCGCCCCCCGCAGCCACCAATCCTGCCCAACGCCGGGCAAGGGGCAGCCCCATCCACTACCAAGGCTGTGGTGAGAGGCAGCAGGGGAGGAAAGAAGCCATATGTGATAGCGGTCCTCTCCCCGTGCCATACCCCTTACCCCCTCCCTCAGGCTGCACCCCCTCCCTCCTACCCCGAAACTCGCTCCCAAAGCCTGCACCCCCAACCCAGAGCCTGCATCCAAACTCTGTCCCAGAGCCTGTACCCCCACCCCTTCCCACACACCCCCTCCTGCACCCGAATTCCCTCCCAGAACCTGCAAATTCCCTCCTACACCCCCACCCCTTGCCCCAGCCCAGAGCCTACACCCAAACTCCGTTCCAGATCCTGCACCCCCTCCCATCCGCAAACTCCCTCCCAGAGCCTACACCCCCACCCCAGCCCAGAGCCTGCACCCCTCACCCACTCCTGCACCCCCACCCCCTGCCCTAGCCTGGAGCCTACAGCCAGCACCCAAATTCCATCCCAGAGCCTTGTACCCCCACTCCCTTCCCACACACCCTCTCCTGCCCCCAAACTCCCTCCTAGAGCCTGCACCCCCACCCCTTGCCCCAGCCCAGAGCCTACACCCAAACTCCATCCCAGAACCTGCATCCCTCACCCCCTCCTTCACCTCTACCCCCTGCCCCTGCCCGGAGCCTGCACCCAGCACCCAAACTCCATCCCAGAGCCCAACCTCTCAACCGTCCTACACCCCAATCCCCTGCCCCAGCCCAGGGCCTGCATCTCAGATCTCCTCCCCACACCCAAACTCCCTCACAGAGCCTTAGGCAGGTGGGGGGCGGAGTTCGGGGGGGGGGGGCAGGCTCTGGGCATTCCGGGCACCACCAAAATTTCTACAAACCTGCCACCCCTGTCTAGGGAATAAACCTGTCCACAAAATAAGTCAAGGGTTCCCCAGGATGCTGCTCAAGCACACTAGTTATACTCAATTTTTACAGAGGGAGATGTGACAGATATGGCAATTTCCTACAATATACTTGAAAAACAGAACGCCACTAGCGGTCACCTTCAGCCCCCAACTAAAACCCCTCCAACGCATTATTAAGGATCTACAACCTATCCTAAAGGATGACCCAACACTCTCACAAGTCTTGGGAGACAGGCCAGTCCTTGCCTACAGACAGCCCCGCAACCTGAAGCAAATACTCACCAACAACCACATACCACACAACAGAACCACTAATCCAGGAACTTATCCTTGCAACAAAGCCCGTTGCCAATTGTGCCCACATATCTATTCAGGGGACACCATCACAGGGCCTAATAACATCAGCCACACTATCAGAGGCTCGTTCACCTGCACATCCACCAATGTGATATATGCCATCATGTGCCAGCAATGCCCCTCTGCCATGTACATTGGTCAAACTGGACAGTCTCTACGTAAAAGAATAAATGGACACAAATCAGATGTCAAGAATTATAACATTCATAAACCAGTCGGAGAACACTTCAATCTCTCTGGTCACGCAATCACAGACATGAAGGTCGCTATCTTAAAACAAAAAAACTTCAAATCCAGACTCCAGCGAGAAACTGCTGAATTGGAATTCATTTGCAAATTGGATACTATTAATTTAGGCTTAAATAGAGACTGGGAGTGGCTAAGTCATTATGCAAGGTAGCCTGTTTCCTCTTGTTTTTCCTACCCCCCCCCCCAGATGTTCTGGTTTAACTTGGATTTAAACTTGGAGAGTGGTCAGTTTAGATGAGCTATTACCAGCAGGAGAGTGAGTTTGTGTGTGTATGGGGGTGGGGGGATGTGAGAAAACCTGGATCTATGCAGGAAATAGCCCGACTTGATTATGTAAAGAGTTGTCACTTTGGATGGGCTATCACCAGCAGGAGAGTGAATTTGTGTGGGGGGGGTGGAGGGTGAGAAAACCTGGATTTGTGCTGGAAATGGCCCACCTGTTGATCACTTTAGATAAGCTATTACCAGCAGGACAGTGGGGTGGGAGGAGGTATTGTTTCATATTCTCTGTGTGTATATAAAGTCTGCTGCAGTTTCCACGGTATACATCTGATGAAGTGAGCTGTAGCTCATGAAAGCTCATGCTCAAATAAATTGGTTAGTCTCTAAGGTGCCACAAGTACTCCTATTATTTAATTAAGTTTAAGTATCATTTGCAAATTTAACACCATTAATTTGGGCTTGAATAGGGACAGGCAGTGGCTGGCTCCTTACAAAGGCAGCTTTGCCTCTCCTGGAATTGACACCTCCTCATTTATTATTGGGAGTGGACTACATCCACCCTGATCGAATTGGCCCTGTCAACACTGGTTCTCCACTTGTGAGGTAACTCCCTTCCCTTCATGTGTCAATATATTGCCTGTGTCTGTAATTTTTTACTACCTGCATCTTAAGAAGTGGTGTTTTAAGCAAGAAAGCTTATGCCCAAATAAATCTGTTAGTCTTTAAAGTGCCACCAGACTCCTTGTTGTTTTTGTGAATACAGACTAACGCGGCTACCCCGATAAGTATCTTTGCAGTCCATTGTATTAAATGCAAATATAATGTATTATTGTGCACTTGGAAAATCAACCGACTGCATTAAATGTGGCAGACAAGAATGGTAATTTGGGACATTACATGTGGAGTTCCTGGGAAGTAGCTATGGGAAGGTTAATGCAAATATCTTTATGCACAAATCCAGACTTTTGAAGCTATGCCCTGAGGAAGGGACCATTGTCTATTAATTACCTGTTCCCAGAATCTGAAGATCAAAGGCCCAAAAGCTTTATAAAGAAAAAGGCTGATCTGCCCTGTTCAGTATGCTTATTCTGAGCTGAGGCTGTTATGAACTTGTAAGCACAGAAAAACCCCAAGGTGGTTTGAAGGACTAACTCCTTTACCACAGCCTTTGTTGGAACTGGACAGGTGATCTCTGCTAAGCTTATTAGCATGATGGTAGATTTTTTGTTGTTTTCTCTGTAATGCTTTTACCTTAAGAAAAAAGTGTTTTCTTAGCAAGAGCTGTGTGGTAACTTGTAACTGCTAACAATTACATTAATAGCCTTTGAAGAGAAAGCAAAGCACAGATGCTGACTTGTTCAGGCAGTCTGGCTTGCTGGTGATATCATAGCGTAGGCAGGGAATTGTGCAGCCTGGGGGAAAAACTTAGTCAGGAGGGAGAGAGATGCCGGTCTCTGCCCAGGTGAGGAGATGGCTGAGGATCCAGGAGCCTAGACTGGGTGCCCTTGAAAGACCACAGAGAATACAGGGGTGGGTGCCCTGAACTGATACAATATTTATTAAGATTGTTTATAAACAATATTTATAAGCCATTACTAAAAAACCCTCACCCTATACACCTAAATCTTCCCCCACCCCACAATCCCATCCTCCCAAAAAGATTAAAAGGAACCTCTCCTCAGCACACACAACTCAAGAAAACACAATGGATGTGTCTAGGTCAACTTGTTTTAGAGTTATAATCAGCTAACAGTCAGAATAAATTCTAGAAAATAAATTACAGCCACGGCTTAAAACTATGACTAGGGCTTGGAGGGGAGGGGGACTCTTCCAAGCCCACTTGAGATGCCCCACACAGGCTGTGCAGACATCACAGCGCTGAAGTCAGGCTTTGCGGAGCTGTCAGAGTCGGTTCTGCCTCAGGGAGGTGTGGATCTAAACTGGGGAAAGCCGCATCCCGGCTCAGGCGGCCCACTAGGCACGTGCCTGGTACCCCCACTTCAGCTTGAACTGAACACAGTCCAGCCCCCAGGGTTACCAAGACAAATGGGGAACTGGGACCCGAGTGACACCGCAGCCAGCCTCCAGCCCAGGGACCAGCAGCAGCTCCAGCCGCCGTGGCGGTAAGAAGCTCCCTGGCTCCAGCCCACCAGCAGGGCGGGGCGGAGCGGAGCCGCACCCCACGGCTCCGGGCACGCCAAGGCCTGGACCGCGGCTTCCCCCCTCCGGTCTTTTGGCTCCCGTGAGGGTGCGATCAGCAGGCGCCGGCCGCTCCCCCGGCACCGCGAGTCGCCCCGCGCCTTATAACGCCCCTGCCCGCGCGCCTGGCCTTCCCTCCGCGCCCTGAGCAGCAGCGAGGCAGACGCCAACGGCTCCCCAGCGCCCGCTCCTGCCCAGTCTCCCCAGCCGGGCGGCGAGCGGAGCCGCCCCACCGAGCGGACACGCCGCCCAGGCAGGTTTCTCCTCCGCGCCCGCCGGGACTCTGAGCCCCGCCGGGGGCGCGCGCGGCACGACACCGGGCCGCCCTCTAAGCCCAGCCCAGTGGCGCTGGGGCCGTTCCGCCTTCCGCGGGGTCTCCCGGGCAGTCGCCACCGCCCAGGGGTCTCCAGCCCTGGCCCCGACCACGGCTGCCGAGGGGGACGTGCGAGCAGCCGAACCCCGCGCCCTGGAGAGGGCCCCGCAGGCACCAGTGGGAACGGGACGGGGCAGCGCGCGCGCGTAACCCGGGCCGCTCACCCAACTGCCGCCGACCCGGCGCGCGGCCTGCGTTCGCCGCTAGGGGGCGGGGCCCGCGGTTCCTGTGCCCATTGGCTCGGAGTCAACCCGTGACATTCCGCTACATCCTGATTGGCTGCCCGGCGGGCCGGGCTTGGACTCTGCCTGGGCCGCTGGGCTTGGGAACGAAGCCGGAAGGGGAGAGGGCGGCGGGGGTGCGCTGAGGAGCCGGGGCGCGGGGCGGCTGCAGGAGGAGGTGAAGTGTCCCCGCCGGAGCGGTGTGAGGGGAGGCGGGACCGGGCCGGGCCTGCGCGGCCGTGACTCCCCGGGGAGGCCACGTGGGCTGGTGGGGATGGCGCCCGCCTGTGCCGGGCTTGTTTGGCTCCTCCTGGGGCCGGCCCGCGAGCCTCGGCCCCGAGCCCCGCCCGGCATGCGGGCGATGCCTGAGCGGGGCGCATAGGCGGAGGCTGGTCTCCTGCCTGGGGAAGTGCCCCGGCTGCCCGCGTGGGGATCCCGGCCCCCCACACTCCAGTTGTACGGAGGGGAGCAGTGTCCTCCGAGCTGGGCCGGATCTGCCTTCGCACTGCCTTAGCGTACTCACTCAGTGATAGGCCCCAAGCCCCGGCGCCGCTGTTTGTCATATTAATGTGTCGTCTTAGTCGCACATCTGTCCAGGGCTGGCTTCACCTCTTCGCAATTTGTTTAATATTAGAAATGGACCAGATGCGGTAGGGGATTGGTCCGGGGTATTGGAGATAATTGGAGAAAAGTTGCATTAGATTGATAAGAGATGGACACACTAATTTTGAAGTACAAATCTTAACTGAACGTGCTGTTGTTCATAGTCAGTGGGAAATTTAACTGAGTATTTTGTGTTCAGGGTCCATGGAGCATATGGGGCAACTTCTTCACAATATGAAGTAAACACTTTGTCTACTGCTTGTAAACTAAGATTCTGATACTGCAAATGCTCGTGCACAGGCTTCGAACAAAGCATCTGAGTAGTCCCATGATGTGTAAAATTAAGCACAAGCGTTTTCAAAATCAGAGTTTAAGGGCCTGAATCTGTAGTTCCTACCTTATGGCATTTCATTATAGTTAGTGGGAATCAGCACAGGAGTAACTGTACATTTAGGTGGTAAAAACAGGAGTACTTGTGGCACCTTAGAGACTAACAAATTTATTTGAGCATAAGCTTTTGTGGGCTACAGCTCACTTCATCGAATGCATAGAATGGAACATATAGTAAGAAGATTTTTATACATACAGAGAACATGAAAAGGGGGAAGTACCCATACCAACTATTATTTGCAATAGCAGGCTTCAAAAATGTGTATAGTCTTTGCTGCAACATAATACTGATTTAAAATGTTAGGCAGCATATAAATACTGCATTTGACAATTAAAGGTTCCCTTTTGTATGAAACATTACAAATGTTTATAGCAACTTCTTGGTCCAAGAACCAAAGGCACTTTAAAACTTACATTTGTATATAGTTTCTATACCAGTTTATCTCTGTCTGCACCTTTGGAGTGAAATGTGGTAATTTTTAATAGCTCCCAGCAATACTACACAACCATTTACGAAAAATTGAGATTATATCAAAATTAAACTACAGGTATAACTTAAGCAAAATGTAGCAATAAGTCTTAATGTATGTACAAAATGAATTCACGCTCTAACTCTTATTAGGTATGACGTCTTAATGATGAGGAGTTCAGGATCTTGCTTTTCCATTGCTCTAAAACATGGGTTTTCAAACCATGGGTCACGACCCGGAACTGGATTGCGGAATAGAAGGGACTGGGTTGTAGCGGCTCTGGTCAGGACCGCCGACGGGGCCGTTAAAAGTCCTGTCAGTGATGCTGCCAAGCTAAGGCAGGCTAGTCCTACTGTTTCCAACACCACGCCCCAGAAGCAGGCAGCAGCAGGTCCAGCTCCTGCCGGGGGGGGGGGGCACTGTGTGCTGCCCCAGCACCGGCTCCGCACTTCCATTGGCCAGTTTGTGGCCAGTGGGAGCTGGAGAGGGCGGTGCCTGCAGGCAACAGCTGCGCAGAGTAGCTTGCGCACCTCCGCCTAGGAGCCAGACCTGCTGCTGGCCGCTTCCAGGGTGCAGGGTGGTCCGTGGTCCCAAGACAGGCAGGAAGCCTGCCTCTGCACCCCCGCTGTGCCACTGACAGAGAGCTGCCTGAGATAAGCCTGTGGCCCAATTCCCTGCCCCTCCTCTGAGCCCCCCCAAACCCAGAGCCCCTTCCTGCACCCAAACCCCTCATCCCCAGCCGCAGCCCTCACCCCCAACCCTGAGCCCCTCCCATACCCCAAACCCGTTGGCATCAACAGTTTTCTTCAACTGGGTTGCCACTGCTCTAAAACCACTGCTCTAAAATCTTCAGCAGCACAGTTCCCCCTACTGCAATGTTGAGTTTGGTCAAACGCTATCTTACAGGGCTGGTCTAAACACAGTTGCACCAATTTAACTTTAAACCAGTGTCGTTAAACTAGTTGAACTTCTGCGTGATGATGCTCTCTCACTGGTTTATGTTGGTTTAGCTTGCCTCTTGTAAATTTACCAACAAGCTAAACCAATATAAGCCAGGTTTCAATTGATGGATATTCCTCTTGCTATGGCACCTTTTCTGGTAATAATTCAGGTCAGCTAAATTAGACAATGAGTTGCACTACAGCACATATGTGCTGTCTCATAACTTCTTTTTGTCATTCCTTTTTTATAGGAAGCTGCAATGGAGAATGAGCTTCTGATGACCTTTCTTTTGTCATTTTCCATATTGTTCTGCAAAAGTCATCGTCATGAAGTAGAGCTGGCTACTGTTGCACAGACCTCTGAGAAATTAATTCCAGATAAGGCAGCTGGTGTCAACACTGACTTGGCAGCACTTATGCAGAAGCATCACCTTCAGGAACTTTTCCAACGTTATGGGGAGAACAATACTTTGACTATTGAAGGATTTAGAAAGTTGCTGCAAAACATAGGAATAGATAAAGTGAAAAGTATCACTATTGGTCATGATCACGATCATGATCATCATCTTCATCATAACCATGTTATGCTAAGCAAAAACTTAGAGAGAACAGATTGCCCAAATCATGAATCTGGTGGTATAAATAAAGATCCTAGTAATGGTCAGGCAAAGGAATTACAAAGAATAGAAAACGCTGAGCACAAGCAGAACTTGATAAGCAACAAAAACACTGTTATGGAAATAACTGCATATACCAACACCACTGCTACAGATGGCAATCCTTTGTTACAGAATTCAGAAACCAGAGAAGTGAAGCCTGTTCATATAAGTCTAACCAGCCCCAGTGCCATAAATGTCACAGACAGCAGCAGTGTGAGTTTACTTGTTAATGGAAAAACTAATGAATCACTTCTTTCCCTAAGGGAATCGGAAAGAGGAAGTTACATGTATTATAAATTTAAAAACCAAAATACACAAGAAGTGAGACTAGTGTTCTGTACTCTTCTTGGGGGCATATCCCCATTAGAAGTGTGTTAGTATGGTTTGTCTTCCAGAGACATTCATTTAACTTCTAGGAATCTTGATGCAAGAGGTGTGTGTGTGGAATAGTTATGCATTCTGGTTTGTACACTGAGTTGTAATATTTTATTTATTTTTTTTTCTTTCTGGTTTCTCTCTTTAGGAGAACATTTTAAGACTAGTTAATGTCTGACACAAGTATGTGAAAGTTTTTGATGCTTATTATAGGAAAACAATTACGTTTTCTTATGGTGTAGAAAAGGGTAGATTAAAAAAAATTTAAAAACAAATAGTACTCTTTGAAAGTTTAACATTTCTATAACCATGCATATTGCTGAACTTATTCCAGGTAGGCTTACATTTTTCTGCTTCAAGTAAAAGGCTAGAATCACAGAATATCAGGGTTGGAAGGGACCTCAGGAGGTCATCTAGTCCAACCCCCTGCTCAAAGCAGGACCAATCCCCAATTAAATCATCCCAGCCAGGGCTTCGTCAACCCTGACCTTAAAAACTTCTAAGGAAGGAGATTCTACCACCTCCCTAGGTAACGCATTCCAGTGTTTCACCACCCTCTTAATGAAAAGGTTTTTTCTAATATCCAGCCTAAACCTCCCCCACTGCAACTTGAGACCATTACTCCTTGTCCTGTCCTCTTCTACCACTGAGAGTAGTCTAGAACCATCCTCTCTGGAACTACCTCTCGGATAGTTGAAAGCAGCTATCAAATCCCCCCTCATTCTTCTCTTCTGCAGACTAAACAATCCCAGTTCCCTCAGCCTCTCCTCATAAGTCATGTGTTCCAGACCCCTAATCATTTTTGTTGCCCTTCGCTGGACTCTCTCCAATTTATCCACATCCTTCTTGTAGTGTGGGGCCCAAAACTGGACACAGTACTCCAGATGAGGCCTCACCAATGTCGAATAGAGGGGGGTGATCATGTCCCTCGATCTGCTCGCTATGCCCCTACTTATACATCCCAGAATGCCATTGGCCTTCTTGGCAACAAGGGCACACTGCTGACTCATATCCAGCTTCTCGTCCACTGTCACCCCTAGGTCCTTTTCCGCAGAACAGCTGCCTAGCTATTGGGTCCCTAGTCTGTAGCGGTGCATTGGGTTCTTCTGTCCTAAGTGCAGGACCTTGCACTTATCCTTATTGAACCTCATCAGATTTCTTTTGGCCCAATCCTCCAATTTGTCTAGGTCCCTCTGTATCCTATCCCTGCCCTCCAGCGTATCTACCACTCCTCCTAGTTTAGTATCATCCGCAAATTTGCTGAGAGTGCAATCCACACCATCCTCCGGATCATTTATGAAGATATTGAACAAAACCGGCCCCAGGACCAACCCCGGGGCACTCCACTTGACACCGGCTGCCAAGTAGAGGTGGAGCCATTGATCACTACCCGTTGAGCCCGACAATCTAGCCAACTTTCTACCCACCTTATTGTGCATTCATCCAGCCCATACTTCTTTAACTTGCTGACAAGAATACTGTGGGAGACCGTGTCAAAAGCTTTGCTAAAGTCAAGAAACAATACATCCACTGCTTTCCCTTCATCCACAGAACCAGTAATCTCATCATAAAAGGCGATTAGATTAGTCAGGAATGACCTTCCCTTGGTGAATCCATGCTGACTGTTCCTGATCACTTTCCTCTCATGTAAGTGCTTCAGGATTGATTCTTTGAGGACCTGCTCCATGATTTTTCCGGGGACTGAGGTGAGGCTGACTGGCCTGTTGTTCCCAGGATCGTCCTCCTTCCCTTTTTTAAAGATTGGCACTACATTAGCCTTTTTTGAGTCATCTGGGATTTCCCCGTTCGCCACGAGTTTTCAAAGATAATGGCCAATGGCTCTGCAATCACAGCCGCCAATTCCTTTAGCACTCTCAGATGCAACGCGTCCGGCCCCATGGACTTGTGCACCTCCAGCTTTTCTAAATAATCCCTAACCACCTCTTTCTCCCAAGAGGGCTGGCCATCTACTCCCCATGCTGTGATGCCCAGCGCAGCAGTCTGGGAGCTGACCTTGTTAGTGAAGACAGAGGCAAAAAAAGCATTGAGTACATTAGCTTTTTCCACATCCTCTGTCACTAGGTTGCCTCCCTCATTCAGTAAGGGGCCCACACTTTCCTTGGCTTTCTTCTTGTTGCCAACATACCTGAAGAAACCCTTCTTGTTACTCTTGACATTTCTTGCTAGCTGCAGCTCCAGGTGCGATTTGGCCCTCCTGATTTCATTCCTACATGCCCGAGCAATATTTTTATACTCTTCCCTGGTCATATGTCCAACCTTCCACTTCTTGTAAGCTTCTTTTTTATGTTTAAGATCCACTAGGATTTCACCGTTAAGCCAAGCTGGTCGCCTGCCATATTTACTATTCTTTCGACACATCGGGATGGTTTGTCCCTGTAACCTCAACAGGGATTCCTTGAAATACAGCCAGCTTTCCTGGACTCCTTTCCCCTTCATGTTAGTCCCCCAGGGGATCCTACCCATCCGTTCCGTGAGGGAGTCGAAGTCTGCTTTCCTGAAGTCCAGGGTCCGTATCCTGCTGCTTACCTTTCTTCCCTGTGTCAGGATCCTGAACTCAACCAACTCATGGTCACTGTCTCCCAAATTCCCATCCACTTTTGCTTCCCCCACTAATTCTTCCCGGTTTGTGAGCAGCAGGTCAAGAAAAGCTCCCCCCCAGTTGGCTCCTCTAGCACTTGCACCAGGAAATTGTCCCCTACGTTTTCCAAAAACTTCCTGGATTGTCTATGCACCTCTGTATTGCTCTCCCAGCAGATATCAGGAAAATTAAAGTCACCCATGAGAACCCGGGCGTGCGATCTAGTAGCTTCTGCGAGTTGCCGGAAGAAAGCCTCATCCCCCTGGTTCAGTGGTCTATAGCAGACTCCCACCACTACATCACTCTTGTTGCTCACACTTCTAAACTTAATCCAGAGACACTCAGGTTTTTCTGCAGTTTCATATCGGAGCTCTGAGCAGTCATACTGCTCCCTTACATACGGTGCTACTCCCCCACCTTTTCTGCCCTGCCTGTCCTTCCTGAACAGTTTATAACCATCCATGATAGTACTCCAGTCATGTGAGTTATCCCACCAAGTCTCTGTTATTCCAATCACGTCATAATTCCTTGACATCACCAGGACCTCCAGTTCTTCCTGCTTTTTTCCAAGGCTTTGTGCATTTGTATATAAGCACTTGAGATAACCTGCTGATCGCCCCTCACAGACGTTCCTGCCTGTGCTTCCTCCCGGTATCCCGCTTTCACACTTACTCAGGGCTTTGGTCTCCTTCCCCCGGTGAACCTAGTTTAAACCTCCTCACTAGGTTAGCCAGCCTGCTCGCAAAGATGCTCTTCCCTCTCTTCATAAGGTGGAGCCCGTCTCTGCCCCAGCACTCCTCCTTCATGGACAGAAAGTAATTCATCCGACATAGAAATCAATGAGAGGCCTTGGAACTTAAGTATGGATTTTATGCAAGTTTCATTATGTATATTTACTAATCATCTTTGGTAAATGTAATCTGGTATAAACTTGTATTCTAGAGGTTGGGAGCCCTAAATTCTGTTCACCACTCTGCAATTGGCTTACTCTTCTGTGATCAGGCAAATAAGTCTTGCTGTGCCTTACTTTCCCCTTTTAAAATGGGGAAAATAATCACCTTTGTAAAACATTCTCATTCTCTGGTGAAAGCTGCTGTCTGCGCTTTCTTTATTTCTGTAATTAGAGCTGCCGTAGATACTTGCATGTCTGTCCCTGAAAAATGATAATCCTCTCATTTCACTTTCACTTCCACTTCCCTGCTGCTACCCTGTATTTTCAAGTTGGAGCATGGTTTTGAGAAGGTGAAGTTTAGGTGGGATGGACCTGAGGTCAGGACAGGCAGATGATCTGAGGGAATGATGGGATCTACGAGGGGCTTGAAGCATGGAAGGGACATACGGGCACTGAGATATTCCTGAAACCATTCTGACAATAATATAAAATTTAGCTGGAAGCCTTAAGTGTAATGAAACTTAAAAAAACAAAACAAAAAAACCCTTCTGTGTCTTTAATGCTTTTCCCATTCATTTCAATGCAGACTAAGTTTCTTCCTATCCTAACTTCTCCTGCTTCTTAGGGTAGGTCTACGTTACCTAAGCGATATCTAAGTCAATATAACTTATGTGGCTCAGGGGTGTGAAAAAGCCCTCTTCTTCCCCCAATCCCAAGCAACACAAGTTGCACGCTGTCCACACTGGCACTATGTTTCCTGCTGACATAGCTTCTGCTTCTCGCTAAAGTGGAGTAACTATGCCGATGGGAGACATCGGCATTGCGCATCTTCACCAGATGCACTACAGTGGCACAGTTGCATCGGTACAGCTGTGCCGATGTAGTGCTGTAGTGTAAACTTGCCTTTAGTAAGGACATGGTAGCTGTCATTCAGTGTCCTCTTCTGTAAAATGTAAGGCTTTTTTCCCCAAAAGAAGGCTTTTGTTTTTGACTATGTCCAATTAATTCTGAAGTATCTTGTTTTTGTTAAAGTAATATGTATATATTCACCCCACTACTACCTTCCACTGGTACTGTTGCACAGATTATTAAAATTCAATCACAAACATACCTTTTTTTTTTTTTTTTTTTTTTGAGTGCTGGATCCTACCTCTTTTTCTTAAGAGGTGGGGGAGGTTTTGTAGAGGCAAACCCAAATGAAAATAAAATGTCTTTTCTCTTTCTTTTTTAAAAGGAGAAAGGGATGCTCATGGAACTGCTGGCTGGTGTCACTAAATAAAACCACTGTAATGAGAGCTTTTCCTACAGCCAAATCCTTCACCATTAAGGGCTTTAAAAATCAGCAGATCCTCTTTGAAGTCTATTTACCCTACTTGAGGTAGCTAAGCTAAATAGTTCAGGGTGTGTGTGTGCGCGCATAATTACAGGTTCTGAATTCAGTGTTGAGGCATATTTCATTTTTCACAAGCAGAGGAGAAACAAGGCTGGCAGCTCTACTAAAGAGGAATGACTAGACTTTTAAAGACTGCAAGTAGTGTGGAATACAAAGATAGTTGCAGGAAGAAACATGTTCAGAACATGGCTTTCGATCGAAATGATGTGATTGAAAAGATTTATTACGAGCCTCTCATAAGAAAGCCTTCTTCCTCCAGCATGATTTCTGTCTTCCTTCAATTAGGAATGAGTCAGCTCATGCATCCAGCTGGCAATGTTGTCCAATTAACTCTCGAGTCCGGAGGCTGAGGCTAGCCCATGGAACGAGAAATGTACTGCTAGCATTGTCCACCTCCCTTAGGTGTATGCAACATGTACTGTAGACACAAGAAAGGATAGAATCTTGAGGGAGATTCGATTTCAATGTCTTCAATGATGGGTATCTTCTTGGTTAGGGTGTAGTGAATAGAGGCTGCTTCCATCTACACACAAATTTGAACTGAAACAACAAAAGGTGTGAACTGATAGGTTTAACTGTTTTGGTGCCTGTGCATTGACAATTATTTCAGAATAAAACTTGCAAAAGTTTATTTAGCTGAAGTCAGCTTGTTACCAACCTTAGCGACTGACCTTGGCTAAAATTGATTTAACTATTTTAGGGAGGTGCTACTGTATTTTGAACTGGTATTGGACTGCTCTTGAAGTTTTTCTAGGATATGATAGTACTTCTGTTCTTATTCATCTTAAACAGGGTTTTTCTTTCTGCAGTGCTTCAATGTATCAAAACTGATGACGTCTCATGGAATAAGCACACAAGTATTGTTGGCTGCTACAGAATTCAGCTATCTTTGTCCAGCAATTATTAACCAGATTGATGGTAAACACTGCATAATCCATGCAGCTAGTGAAAAGACTGAAAGCCCTCCAAAAAGCTATTCTTTGCAAATAGGTAGGTTTTAATTTCTTTTTAAATTTAGAATAAATCTTACCAACAATCATTCGCACTTGAAATTTGCTTCTTTTTATAGCTAATATAAATATTTAGATTCTAAACTATTATTTTTTCTTAGATACTTGACTTTTCTATATGCTGTACAAAGAGTTCTTTCTAGACACCCTTATCCTGGGGATTTTCTTAGTTATTAACGTCTAAATCAGTGTTTTGAAGAAAGCAAGCATCATCTGATATATTTTGTATTTCTCTTACCAGCTTGGATTGGTGGTCTTATATCAATCTCCATCATCAGTTTTCTTTCTTTATTGGGTGTTATATTGATACCGCTGATGAATCGTGTATTTTTCAAGTTTCTTCTAAGTTTCCTTGTGTCACTGGCTGTTGGGACTCTGAGTGGAGATGCTTTTTTACATCTCCTTCCACATGTAAGTATTTTTTACTCGTATTAAATCATTCATCTTAACTTGAAAAATGTTAGTGAAATATGGCTTTATTACCTTATTATCAATGTCAAGTGCTTTAGGAAGCCTACTAACACTTGGTTTGGCTGTCTACCAAACCTACTGGTTTATTGACATTAATGAAAACTTGTATTAACCTAATAAGAAAAAATGATCTACTTTCAAGTAATCTATGTAAAACTGTAGCTGCTGTTTCTGATCTGACTTAGGATTCCCCACAACGCATGCAGTTGCACTATCATACGTTGGTTTGCAACGTTCTTGTACATTACTCAGTGCCTCACACACAAGTTGCGCTTGTAGATCAGCAATTTAAAATCCTTTCGGTATTTTTTTTTCTTTTCACCCTCTTCCCCTACCACCTCTTTTTTTTTTTTTTTTTGAGAAATAGAAATAGCTCCATTATCTCTTTCCAGTGTGATGGGAGAGAGATAATTACAACATTCAAATGCTGACATTGCTTATCCTCTGAATGGAGCATCTGAGAAATGCTGGGAACACAACACTTTGAGAGGTTTAATACCAGACCACTTACCCATGTGATGGGGTTGAAGAGACTCAACTTAGGTCAAGAATGGAACTGGACTAGAATCCCTATAAAATTCTGTCTCTAGGGACGTCTATGTGCCGGACTTATAGTACAGGGACAGTCCAACCCTGTGGTACGCTCCATCAGTAAAACTAAGTGTTATGCAGTGAGTTGAAAGCCTTGCTTTCTGTATGTGTAGGTTTTTCCTTATTCCCTTCAGTTAATTATATTGTTGACCTGTTTCTCAGATTCTGGAGGCACTTGGGCCTCTGTGCTTGGGGTGCAAGTATCCTGAAAATCCAGCATGCTTTATTGTATGTTCTTTACTTACAAACCTTATGGAAGACTGGCTTTGTGAAAGCAGTATTCTCAGTGATGCTTGAACCATACTTATGCTGCAATTAAGGGGTTGCTAATGTATCTTAACTTGAAAATTTTCAAAAGAAGCAACAAAAGCAGCACTGCTGCTGAGTCCTATACGCTTCTTCATAAGAACCTCCACTAGCACTCTTCTCGTGTACAAAAGTGCTAAGTACTAGCCTTCAGGCCTAAATTCAGCAGTGTCATAACTGGGACAGGAACTTGGGCGCATATATTAAGGTAGTTGCACTTGCACTGATTTGGCATTTGGTGGGTGGGTACAATAAGAGTAATTCTCTCACACCAGGGAGTGGAGCAGGAAAAGCAGGTCCTGATTAAGAACAGCTCTGACCCTTTTGTCAGGCTGCTTTTCTTTATCTTGCACCCTCCTGAAAGTTGCTTTTTGTGTTCCTGTGTTCCTTGATGTTCAAGATATATTTGTTTTTCACACTTAATGTCCGTTTAGTACAAGCTACACTACTTTAATGTTTACACTAGGGCAGTCAATCGCAGTTAATGCATGTGATTAACTCAAAGTAATCAGGATTAAAAAAATTAATCCCGATTAATCCGTTTTAATTGCACTGATAAACAATAGAATACCAATAGAATATGAAACTTACTACATATTTTTGGATGTTTTTCTACATTTTTAAATATATTGACTTCAGTTACAACACAGAATGAAAAGTTGACAATGCTCACTTTATATTATTTTTATTACAAATGTTTGCACTGTAAAAATGGCAAACAAAAGAAACATTATTTTTCAATTCACCTCATACAAATACTGAAGTGTAATTTTTTTATCATGAAAGTTTAACTTACAAATATAGAATTATGTACAAAAAAATAACTGCATTCAAAAAATAAAACAATGTAAAACTTTAGAGCCTACAAGTCCACTCAGTCCTACTTCTTGTTCAGCCAATTGCTAAGACAAACAAGATTGTTTACATTTACATGAGATAATGCTGCCTGCTTCTTATTTACAATGTCCCCTGAAAGTGAGAACAGGCATTCGCATGACACTTTTGTAGTCGGCGTTGTGTGGTATTTATGTGCCAGATGTGCTAAACATTCGCATGCCCCTTCATGCTTTGGCCACCATTCCAGAGGACATGCCTCCATGCTAATGATGCTTGCTAAAAAATAATGCTTTAATTAAATTTGTGACTGAACTCCTTGGGGGAGAACTATGTCTTCAGCTCTGTTTTGCCCACATTCTTCCATATATTTCGTGTTATAGCAGTCTTGGATGATGATGCAGCACATGTTGTTCATTTTAAGAACATTTTCACTGCAGATTTGACAAAACACAAAGAAGGTACCAATGTGAGATTTCTAAAGATAGCTACATCACTCAACCCAAGGTTTAAGAATCTACATTGCCTTCCAAAATCTGAGAGGGACGAGATGTAGAGCATGCTTTCAGAAGCAACATTCTGATACAGAAACTACAGAACCCGAACCACCAAAAAAGAAAATCAACCTTCTGCTGGTCACATTTGACTCAGATGGTGAAAATGAACATGCATCGGGTCCGCACTGCTTTGGATGGTTATCGAGCACAACCAGTTATCAGCATGGACGCATGACCTCTGGAACGGTGGTAGAAGTGTGAAGGGACATATGAATCTACATTGTGTAAAGAGTTGTCACTTTGGATGGGCTATCACCAGCAGGAGAGTGAATTTGTGTGGGGGGGTGTTGAGGGTGAGAAAACCTGGATTTGTGCTGGAAATGGCCCACCTGATGATCACTTTAGATAAGCTATTACCAGCAGGACAGTGGGGTGGGAGGAGGTATTGTTTCATATTCTCTGTGTATATATAAAGTCTGCTGCAGTTTCCACGGTATGCATCCGATGAAGTGAGCTGTAGCTCACGAAAGCTCACGCTCAAATAAATTGGTTAGTCTCTAAGGTGCCACAAGTACTCCTTTTCTTTTTATGAATCTTTAGGGCATCTGGTACATAAATATCTTGCAGCGCTGGCTACAACAGTGCTGTGCAAATGCCTGTTCTCGCTTTCAGGTGATACTGTAAACAAGAAATGGACAGCATTATCTCCTGCAAATATAAACAAACTTGTTTGTCTGAGCAATTGGCTGAACAAGAAGTAGGACCGAATGGATTTGTAGGCTCTAAAGTTTTACATTTTTATTTTTTGAATGCAGTTATTTTTTGTACATAATTCTACATTTGTAAGTTAAACTTTCCTGATAAAGAAATTACACTACAGTACTTGTAGTAGGTGAATTGAAAAATACTATTTCTTTTGTTTTTTACAGTGCAAATATTTATAATCAAAAATAAATATAAAGTGAGTACTGTACATTTTCTATGCTGTGTTGTAATTGAAATAAATATATTTAAAAATGAAAATATCCAAAACTATTTAAAGAAATGGTATTCTATTATTGTTTAACAGTGCGATTCATCGTGCGATTAATTTTTTTTTAACTGCTTGACATCCTTAGTTTACACTCATTTTCCAACCCACTTACACTATGACTATTGCATTTGATCCAGAGTGTTTTATGGGAGTTGCACCATGCTTATATAAGGTCCGAATCTGGACCTCAGGGGATTTCCTCTTTCATACTGGACAAGAAACTATACTTTAGGAATGCATTGGGGCTTTTTAGGGGAATGCACCTCTACCTCAAAATTTGACCTAAGGAATTAAATCTGGTCAGAAATTCTAGATTTGTGTATCTCCATCTGGAAAATTTACTACTATACAACTGAGAGTGAAAATGAGTAAATTTATCATTGTTATCAAATTTTTCCCTTATGATTTTGTCTTGTTCAAATAGGTGTCATTTTATTCTCTCTGCATGCCCTCCACTCCCACTCCCCCGCCCCCTCCAAAAAGCGCAAAAAAATGCAAAATAACTTTCACACTCCTATCAAGACTACTTTGGGAATAGAGTTGACTTGTTTAACTGCTGCCCTAGATCCAACATACCTGGCAAAAAAAATGGGAGAGGGAATAGTTTGATTTTTAGTGCTAAACAGTCATCTTTTTAGAGCACTTATAATGCAATACCTAGATTTTTGTTTTCCCCGATATTAAAATTCAGTCTCCATAATGGTGCTTCTGTCAGATGGTTTATTAATTATACACCCTTGGATTCACCTTAACACTAATCTGCCTGAGTTGTGGGATCTTTGTTTAGCTAGCAGATTATTTTGATCCTTTCTGCTCTATTTAACCAGCCATTTATTTATTGTCATAGGAAGTGAATGCCATTTACTGTTTCAAAACATAAATTTAATCAACGTGTACATTAAACAAAATTACTGTTGCTGCCACCTCAAAAATATATTGGCAGCAGAATTTTCTGGAATAAGACAAACTCATGAAAAAGTTAAGCAGAAGTCCTTCTCTCCTGCCCTGAAAGCTGCCCAACTTTGGTTCAAGTAGCCTCCCAATGGGGGAGAGCCCCAGAGATGGGGTCCTCTGAGAGCAGGCAAAGGCTTGGGTCACTATTGTGTGGTCTGTATTAGAAAGGAATGTTCCTAGCTTCTTTGTCAGCTATAGATGAGGCAGTAAAAATGGTGGTCTGGGCCACCACTACTAGCTGAGGATTTAGCAAGAGCATCCTAATGTTGCAAACCATTCTAATGAAAGGTGCATATGCACACTTGGTAGAGGGTGATGGCTGGGTCTGCATGTACTCTTTAAATATTTCCCTTTACCCACAAACATCACAGCCGTTTAATCCATTTTGAGTTGTTTTCATTTATAGTTCTTTCTCACATTTAAGAAAGTAATAAGATTTGTCTCTGGAATCAATAAAAATGAGCCACAGAGCACCTTTCAGTTTTTTCTTCTGTTGTACTGAAATTTATTCTGAATTAGTGGAACTTGAATGTTTTTTTTTTTTTAATTTCCCTTAGTCTCATGGAAATCATCACCATCACCACGAGAAACTTTTACTTGAACAAAATAAAGATGCCCTGTTCAAGCATCTTGTCTTTCAAAGTGAAGAAGAAACTGCTTATTTGGATTCCACATGGAAAGGACTGACAGCCCTTGGAGGCCTGTATTTCATGTTTCTAGCTGAGCATTTGATCACTTTAATTAAGCAGTTTAAAGACAAGAAGAAAAAGGTAGGGAAATTACATTTTTGAAGCCTCATTGCACTATGTAATAGTCGTGTCTGTGGATATTAAAATTAGTCTTTTGTAGAGAGCAGCTTGTTGATTAGATTTGGTAGCTAATGAGGAATGTGCTCACAACTCAATTTTTGCTTATAAGTCTATAGTACTATAGTTTGGGTGATCCTAACCATCTTTCCTCCTTCAGAGTAGACATGTATTTATATTCCTAAAAAGAATTCTGTTAACTGTTTTCTTGCACAAGCAGATAATTCAGTCTGCATCTTTCAGTTGTTTACCTTGAAGTTACAGTGAAAGACCTGATTTACAGTGAGTGCCATCTTAAAACAACAAAAACCACATCATTCTCCTCCTCCTCCCTCCAAAAATCCCAGTGGTTACTATATTGGGATTGTTATGGTTGTCCTTACACTTACATCATTGGTGTTATTCCTATTCTAACTACTGTGGGTGTAAATGTTATTTTATAAAATGGTGCCCACTGTAGCAAGCTGCATAGTGTAAAAATGGGTAAGAAATCATAGAATAGCAGGGTTGGAAGGGACCTCAGGAGGTCATCTAGTCCAACCCCCTGCTCAAAGCAGGACCAATCCCCAATTTTTGCCCCAGATCCCAAATGGCCCCCTCAAGGATTGAACTCACAACCCTGGATTTAGCAGGCCAGTGCTCAAACCACTGAGCTATCCCTCCCCCCAATACTCATGAGGTTGGCAGGATCAGTCTCCATAACTACAGCTAAAGTTCTTTGCTCTTTTCAAGGTACCTCTGGGCAAATAGTTCCCAGGCAGAGCAGATGCTTGGTTTTCATCATGTTTTAAAGAGACATTTGTTTAAAATTTGAGTATGCGTTAAACACTACAATAGGGAAAAAATTGGCATTTTGTGAGGCTTTAGAAGTGTTTCAAGTATAAAGTGGAACTATAGTTACTGTGTAATTCTGTATAAATCCTTATGCCTGCTCATTGTGACATTTTTTTTCCCTCTGTACCCTAGCTAATTCTTTGCCTTTTTACTCCTTACTCTGCTTCTGCTGACGTTCTAGTCATCTTCCTGATTATGTATTCTTTGGATATCTCCATGCTGTCCTCTTGATTTTCATGCTGCATAATTTTATAAATATACTGTGTATTGCTCATATATATCCTGAAAAATAAGTAAAATATTTATAACTTCAATTTTTCTTTTGGAGTCAGAAAAAAAATGAAGATGCAGAAAGTAAGAAGTTTTCAACAAATGAAGAAAAATTAGATGCAGATTATCGTAAGTCTTAGTAATACTACTGCACAATTGTATCAATCAAAAGGGTAAAGAATCTTTTCTATGCTATTGAAGGCTCATTGATCCTTTCACTTACTGTTGACTGGATCACTGTGTAGCTAGGTTAATTAAATCTTTCCTGAAACAAAATCTTGATACACGTTGGTATGCAGAGGATTGACCCTAAGTAAGTTGATTTTTAACCTTTTTTTAATGTTGATAGGGGTTCGAAGTAGTCCATGTGTTTTCTGAATTTTTAAGCTTCTACTCTTGTGATACAGGATTGAGCACTGGAAATCAAAACTGTTCTGTTTAAGCCCTTCTGTCTACAGAAGTTTAAGATGCTTATGCATCTACCAATTTCTAGACTAATAGTACCTGTAACTCTATGGAGGAAGGATTTTTAAGAGTCCCTGTGTCAAATCTGGTATCAAAACGTAAGCACTCAAGCTTACATATTTCAAATACCCGAGGACTTGATTTTCAGAAGGGCTGAGCACCCACAATTCGAGATGAAGTTAATTGGGGAGAGGGAAGCTGCAGGTATTCAGCATTTCTCAAAATCAGACCATTAATGAAAACACCTTAAAAATTTCATGGAACAAGAGTGCCACCAAACGTCCAGATCTTCTGGTACAAGTTTACAATAAAACATTGAGCTTTTTGATTTTTATAGGCTGATTTCAGTACTGTGTGTGCTCGGCTACTGAAATATCCACTATGATAAGCACTTGGATTGTAAGGTAGGTGTAAACAGGGCGTGTGTGTGTGTGATATATTAACATTAAGTAATCTCATTCTGGGTTTTAAATTACAGTGTGATCAAAATACCTCATTCTCAGCAAGAGTGAGATTAAAGCAATTCTGAGGTGAAAATATAATTATAAAATGTCTTGCATATTAGTGTGATATTTGCTGGAGGGGAGTTCATGTCAAAAATTTGTCCAAGTACAGCAGTGTTCTGTCTGCGAACAAATATACACATCCTTGGTGAAAGCCCACTGAAGTTGGTGGATTGAAAGCATAGATGAAGTTGACTTATGCCCCTTTGCCTCACTCCTTTAAGCCCTGGACTTCATATTCTCTAGTTACCCCATTAGAGGTTTTAAGATGTGCCCTTATATGCCTCTGTGGACTTCCTCTCTCTCCTCTTGATCCTATTGCAAGGCTGAATCATATACTCAATTGAAAAAAATAAATGGGGATTTGGGTTTATTTCTGTTTCTATGTTCAGGGTTAGAAGGGTTACTTTCACTTTTACTGCTTTAACTCGTTTTTCAGACTCTTGAGCAAAACACCATCTCAGAAGCATTTCTTGGAATCAAAATGTGTGAACTGCTCCACCGAGTAGAACAGTACCAAAATAGTCAGTTTAAAAAAGGAACTTTGTTCAGTTTGCAGGGACCCCAAATCGCATGGGTATATCTCCTGCAATCATATTATATGGAGACAGCACTTTTTATCTGTAGTTAACAGGAGATGTTGTTTCTGGCATGATAAATTATCTCTGGCTTCTTTTAATTGTATTTTTTTCTCCAATTTTCTGTCTCTTGTTTTTTAAGCTCCTCAAGCATCTAACACTGACTAGAACTACCAGAATACTAATATTCTCTATTTGATTCGACAGAACCCCAGACTCTCCTGAAAATACATAAAAGCTCATATGTTGGCTTAGTGTTGCATGCCATACATGATCCTGTAGCCTCAAACAGAACTCTTCTATATCTGATTGTCTGCATAGGTATCACAGTGGAATTTGGTTTTACTGATCCCCATTTGTAGTTTTTATGTGGCTATATGGAGCATATCTTATTTTGCAGAAACCAGTTCCCATTGGTGCTGAGGTCAATGGGATTTTTATTTCAGGATTATATTGCAAATTACGTTTTTTGTTTTGTGTTTTTCCCCCAAAGACACAAGAATTGTCGTCTTTCAGTGTCACTCACTGCAGGTAAAGAAGTTAACTGAAGTGCCAGTTAGAGCCAATTCTTAACTTAACTGACCTATCTTGACATTAAATGTTTAATACAACTTGCTATGTCCTTCTGTATTGGATACTTTCCTTCTGTGCATATGTCTGACTATTTTTTGGAAGTTCAGACTTCCGGATTTTTATGTAGTGATCAATTACATCTATATCATCACAAAGTGCCAGAATTGATCCTTATATTATAACTTCTCTGATTTTGGTGGCTTATAATTCAGCCTAAAATTCATTAAAAGTACATACAATGTGATTTCAGACTTTTTTTAATTTTCAAAACAATTGGGCTACAAGTCAAACTGTGCAAGTTTAAAAAGTAAAAACTGTACACATTTGTGCCTAAGAAAAATAGTTCAAAAACTAGCAAATGATTTAATATGTGATATAGTATAATGTTGCTATAAAAATAATATATTTTATCAGCTGAAAGAAGTTAGATCACCACAGTATAACTTGTGAAGATTTTGTTTTTTGGAAATGAGTCTTTAGAGACAAGTTAGGAGTTAAGACTTTTTTTATATATATAATTTTGTAACATTTCTGTAGAATTTCATGGTGAGTTTAGGGAAATTTGAGATGATATTTAAAAGGAAACTATTGTGGTAAGTCATTCAAAATATTGCCATACTTAGTCACAGTGGAAGAAGGTGTCCGTCTCAATTCTGAATTTATTTGCTTTTCTCTTATTGTAACGTAACATTGTATGTGATTATTTTTATGTACAGTTATGTAGTCTTATTTATTTTATTATTTACAAGGGCCTGAAGGTTACTTAGGGACAGAGTCACAAGATCCATCACACTTCATTTCTCAGCAACCTGTGGTACAAGAAGAAGAAGAAGTCATGATAGCTCATTCCCATCAAGAGGAAACAGACAATGAATATGTATCCAGGGGGTGTAGAAACAAATGCCATTCTCATTTACATGACACTCTTGGACAGTCAGATCATCTGAGTCACCATCATCATGACTACCATCATATTCTGCATCACCATCATACCCAGAATCATCATCCACACAGCCACAGTCAGCGCTACTCACGCGAAGAGCTGAAGGATGCTGGGATAGCTACTCTAGCCTGGATGGTGATTATGGGTGATGGACTACACAACTTCAGTGATGGCTTAGCAATCGGTAAGTGTTTATACAATACTTTTGCCTTCTCATGTAATAACAGCAAGGTAAAATTGTTCCTCTGCTGCCACTTAACTTCTAGCGAGAGGATATCAGATAAGAGTCTTGCCATAATAAATTAGCCAGTGATCTGCTAGTGGGTTTTGAATTGATCAGTCAAGGTTACAGATTGGAAACCTGGATAGCTAGTGCGAAACAGTAAACCATAACTTATTCGTTGCAACTGAGAAAGGTATAAGGATAATGACCAGATAACAGAAAAGACATTTCTTAAAGAAACAGACAATGGGAAGTTATAAATATTGCTTTAATTATTTTACACCCAAAAGATCAGACCAAGATTTTCAAAACTAGGAGCCTAAAGATAGGCACCTAAATTCATGATTTAGTTACTTAAGTAGTTGGCCTCACGTTTCAAAAGTGCTGGGCACCCAGCAGCATCCACTGATTTCAGGCTTGATGTTAATTCTCCCTATGCTGTGTTCATAAAAATAGGTGATCCCATGTCTTCACTCCTATAGCCTGTCTATGTAGTCTCCAGTTTTCATTTTAATCAGGTCATCGTCTTTCATATTTTTCCTCAAGCTTCATTGACCTTCACCAAGATCAGGATTCATATTTTAAATGTCCAGAGCCCCTAAGGAAGGGGTTCCTAAACTTTTTGACTGAATGTTTAGTGTATATCCTGTGACTTTTTTTTTTTTTTTTAAAAAACCATAGCTTGTCTAAAGGTATAACAGTATCTCCTCTTCCTGCATGGTTTGTTCGTGTACCTATTCCTTCTCTCATGCATGTTTTATTCCTTCAGTTCTGTGATACTGGAATGCTGTAGCTTTTTTGGAAAGATTTAATGAGCTATTCACAAAAGCCGTATATGCAGCACGGCATTTTGGGCATTAGACAAGTGAGATCAGGTTGGCTGTCCCCTACCTTTCTCTAGCAAGATGGATAATGAGAATTCTGGATGTAAAGTAAGATGGTGATGGGAGGGAAATTTTTTTTTTTTTTTAAATGAGCAGTCAAGATCACGAAAGACTAACAACAGTTTTCTAGATGTGCTCATTGCTCTACAGATGTTGGATTCATTTTTAATGTAGGGTCAGTTGCAACAATGCACTGTAGTCAGTTCAAGGACAGTAGCTTTACTATAAATCACATTGCAGGGCTGAATTCCTTTTTCTTGTTTGCATGAGGAAGGGATACAATAAGTGATAGTATATAAGTATTTCTTTGGACTTCAGAATAATGATGTGAACAAACATAGATTCTGTATCCAATTCATAATATAATGTGATGAGAGCTTCTGATATAACCTTTTTTTAAAATAAAAATTGGACCATCGAATCTAAATTTTCCAGCTTATCAGTAGTGAAAACGTGGTAGGAAAAATAAGAGGATTTGCATGTAATAAAAGCCAAGAAGAATCAATTTTCCTAAGTATATGTGAGAGAGATTTGGGAAAGGATGGATTTGGTGGACTTGCAGTAAAATACAAGGGAAGGCTAATATCACCTGTAACAAATGAGACCAGCCAATTTAGTAAGGCCTCATTAACTGATTCATCTAGACCAGAGGTGGGCAAACTGCGATCCACGGGTAACATCCGGCCCGCGGGCCCCTCCTGCCCAGCCTTTGAGCTCCCATCCGGGGAGGCTAGCCCCCAGCCCCTCCCCTGCCATCCGCCCTTCCCCGCAACCTCAGCTTGCCGTGCCGCCAGAGCTCTGGGCGGTGGGACTGTGAGCTCCTGCCGGGCAACGTGGCTGCGAGAGCCACCGGCTTGCCCCACTGCTCTAAACTGTGCGGTTTGACTGTGTGGTTGGCTTTGGTTGGGCGGCGTGGCTGCCAGTACTGGTGCTCTGAGTGGCATGGTAAGGGAGCAGGGGGGTTGGATAAGGGCAGGGGCTCCCGGAGGCAATCAGGGGACAGGGAGCAGGGGGGCAGTTGGATGGGTGGAGGTTCGGGGGGTGGGAGGAATGGTCAGGGGATGGGGAATGGGGGGTTGGATAGGTGTCAGAGTCCTGCGGGTCCTGTTGGGGGCAGGGGTGTGGATAGGGGTGGGGGCAGTCAGGGAGCAGTGAATGCATCCGATGAAGTGAGCTGTCGCTCACGAAAGCTTATGCTCAAATAAATTTTAGTCTCTAAGGTGCCACAAGTACTCCTTTTCTTTTTGCATTCTTCCAGTTTTCCACTTTGAAAAACATAATCACCCTGGCAGAAGCTGGGCCACAGGCAGTTTGCTACCACCAGCCCTCCACCCACACACACTTATTTTCAGCACCAGTCACCACTGCAATAAAAACTAATATCCATTGGTTCCACGTATGAACCTCTCCCATCTTAACATCTTGTTTTTTTAGAGAGACAAGATAGGTGAGGTAATGTCTTTTATTGGACCAACTTCTGTTGTTGACAGACAAGCTTTCGAGCTTACACAGAGCTGCTCTTCAGGTCTGGGAAAGGTCTTTGTTTGTTGTTAATAGAATTATACAGCCTTACCGGAAGCCTTGAAAATCCCTAATCAGATTTTAGGACCTGGTGTCTGCCTTTTCAGTTCCATTTATATGTATGTTCATAAATTTTATATAACAGTTAGGGGTCAATATTGCCTTTGTGTTATCTTTCATCCACTTAAGATTTTAATAAACCATGGTACAGGCCTTGACAAAAGACATTATGCAAATAGAGCTTTGAATACATCCTGGGCTTCTCCTTCAAAAATTGATAAAATACACTCTGTATAAACTATTTCTTGCAAGTAGCAGGAGATGAACCACAAATGTTAAGCTAAGACGTGTCTAAGAATTCAAATTCTTTGGTGTTTATTTGAGCCTTTGATCCGGAAAGAGCTTTCTTGTGATATTTCAAGTATTTCTTGATACAAGCAGGGTTGACACAACCACAAGAATAACTCTCACTATTTCAGTGCTAGATTTATTCAGGACAAAATTTTGTGAAATTGAGCAATATATACTCCTGGGGGAATTCTGCGCCATGATGCGTGTGCAGAGTTCATGTTCCCCGCAGATTTCTTTGCTTCCCTGCAGAAAAATGGTAAATCACTGCAGGGCTGGGGACACTCCAGCCAGTGGCTTCTACCTTGAGCCAGGATTAGCTGCTAGTCCTGGCTGGGCTGGAGGCCCTCAGCATCCTTTCCTGCTTCCTGTCCCCAACACTCAGCTGTGAGGGGAGGGGTCACTGTATGGGGAGCTGTTCCCCCATTCACCCAACCCCTGTGCATCTGTATCTCCCATACCCAGACACCCCCTTCCAAGCCTCACCCACTACATCTAGAACCCCCCAGCTCTCCATACCCAAACCCCACCCCATTGAACCTCAACCTGTCCATCTGGAATCCCACCCCTGCACTCACACCACTCCCCACTGAACTCCTTGCACTCAAGCCCTACTCCCCGCACCTCTTGAGCTCCAACATCCAGACTCCCATGCGACTGACTCCCAATTAGCTGCACTCAGACCCCCACCCCTCCAGCACTCGGACCCCCCTGCTGAGACTCCGACACCCAAACCCTTGTCCTGAGCCCCAACCACTTTCACCTGGAAGCCCCGGTAGAGTCCTATTGCCCCTGCACCTGGAACCTCTCCCCTCCCCCTCTCCAACAAGCCTCTGTGCATCCAGATCCCCCCACACCTAGGGGACACCCCCCCCCCCCCCCACTGAGCTGTCTGCACCTAGATTGTCCCACGCAGAATCCTCTCACCAAACACCTGGAGCAGGGCCCCCCCCCCCCCCCCCCCCAAGCCCCTTCACACTTGGATCCTGCCTGGTTGAGTCTGCCTGCCCCATACCCGGTGCAGAGCGGCAGGGCCCCAGGGTGTTACTGGGCAGGCTCAGGCCTTGTGCTGTGTCAGGGTTGGGTGCAGCCTCACCACTGAGTCTGTGTCCCTGGGGTGGGGAGGCTGCAGGGTGGTCTTCCACCTTCATGCAACCAGTGGCTTGTGCTTCTCACTGCCATGCTGGAGCCTCTGCATTTATTGATTGACAAATAAAACTTGCAGAATTTTAAAATACTGTGCGTAGAATTTTTAAATTTGTTGGTGCAGAATGCTGTCAGCAGTAAATATAGAACTGGCTAGTAAAAATCACATTTTTAATCTACAGCAGCTTGAGTAAAGCGTCGGGTGAAGTTGGTCGATGAAGCACCAATCCTCTGCTTTTTTTGTTTTGGCATTTGAGACCAATGGTAGGTTTTTGCTTTTTAAGAAAAAGTGCTATAAGAGATGGGCTTGAAACAGAAATTACAAGGTTAAATTATTTTGTTATACTGGTTTGACTAGATGATGATTGTCCCTTCTGGTTTTAAAATCTATGACACACAGACACACAAACACTTTCACTTTTCTTTGGAGTTCGGCTGTTTGGCCATTTCTGCCCTAATCGGATATGAACACATACAGCAATGTTTCCAAGCTTGATTTTTTCAACTGTAACATTTTGGGTTTTTTTTTTTGTCTTTTCACAGGCGCAGCCTTTACTGAAGGTTTATCTAGTGGATTAAGTACTTCTGTGGCTGTATTTTGCCATGAATTACCCCATGAGTTAGGTAAGACAACACGATATTTTAGTAAAGGATAGCTTGCTAGGAATTTGGGAGACATTAAAGGATAATGCTTTATTTTATCAATGTTTTATTGCATAGCAAACATTTTTCTGAAGTCTTAGGAGGAAATAATTCTAACCAGGATCAGAAGTGTTCACTCAGTTTACAGCTGTTTTTTAAACAGATTATAAAATTCATGAATAGATTTACTATTTAGAATTATTTGCAAATCTCAGAAGTTAAGTTTTTGTTGATCAGATCACTCAGTTTGCAGATATTCAACATGTATTATGTTTAATTACGTGGCATTATTTCTGTTCCTTAATTTGTGTGACTTACGTGTAACTTGTGAATCTTGCAACTGAATATGCAATTTGCAATTGGTTTCTGTCAAATACCTGCTTAACTTGATTTTTGTGTGTGTGCACAGAGGATAATATGGAAGTGCTTGAATATTTGCTGAAAGGGTACTTAGGGTACTCTCAAATATCAAATCAAAATTCACTTTCAAGTTTGAACAAACATTGGTGGATTGCTTTTTCCACTATTATTCAGCTCAAGTTCAGATCTTGCAAAAGATTCCCATCCAAAGTCTAACTTGGGGATGTTGTTTGGAACTCTACATCTTGAGTCTTTCTAGTCAGATTGGATTAATCTGTGTGTGTCTTCCACATAAGAATTTAGATACTACGAGGTTATAGGTTTGGGGCCTGGTATCTGTCACAGAGAAGTCATTAGGAATTGGATTGAGCACTTAGTCTTTTTTATCTCAGTAGAATGAAGCTTGTTTTGTTTACTGAACTAACGGAGGCTGCCCATTGCTTAGAATGTTTCTGTGGATGATTTTAAAAAGGAATCTCATCAAGCCTGTCTTGTCTGGAAATTTGCCTTGACATAGGATTTTACAGGTTGTGGTATAAAATGGTGGGGTTACATAGAGATTAGCAGGGGAGTCGCATCCCCCAGAGAAAAATGGTTTGCAAACATATATATATATATGTGTGTGTAATAGGTAAACACTACAAAACATGGCAATTTTCTTTACAGTGAGTTTGGAATGGCACAGGGATATTTCCGTACTCTTACCCATTTCAAATTAGCACTGCTGTTAATCATTCTAGTGAAACTGAGATACGTAAGGTCACTTTTTTATAGAAATTAATAAAGAAATTCTTAAGCAATGACTGGGCTAGAGTATAAAGTATTTAGAAAAGTCACTGGATAACTGGGTAGAACCATGATGAGAACACATCACATAGCAATTTTTTTTTTCAAAATCCATTAAAGCCAGTTTGTGGAAAAAATACTTTATACAGTGTTCACTGAGGTTGAATACTGTGGAATACTTCGGTTAAAATGATATACATTATTAAATCAGGTAAGTCCGACAGTATGCATTTTCCAGAATACTAAAAATAAACTAAAAATGTGATCTTATGCAGGACTAAATTTTCATACTATAGATCGTGGGTATGCAGCAGTTTTCACGTGTTCACTCATTGACTGACCTATTTCTCCATAAATGAACAACTTATTTTCTGGACGAAAACTTTGAAGAAAGCCAATAACAGGCACTAAAATAGTTCCATATATTCTTTCTAGGTGGTGAAAATAAATGTTACTGCGCATGTTACAGTAGTTACATGAGTGGGTGAAAGATACTTTTTTTTTTTTCTGCTATAGGAGATTTTGCTGTACTTCTAAAAGCTGGCATGACAGTCAAACAAGCTGTTCTTTATAATGCTCTATCAGCTATGCTAGCATATCTTGGAATGGCAACTGGGATTCTTATTGGTCACTATGCTGACAATGTTTCAATGTGGATATTTGCACTTACTGCTGGCTTGTTCATGTATGTGGCTCTTGTTGATATGGTAAGTATGTAACTAGAACTACTTGCTGTTTACATAACTGAGATTCAGAATCAATACCAAAATCAGTTTGTCATAAAATAGGAAGTGGGTTTCTTTCCTCTTAGAAAACATTGACCACATGTATTACATGTTTCTTAACCTAAAGACTGACACCATTTAATTTGTTCTTAAGGAAGCTTTTCAACATAACTATGGAACACACACAAGTAAATAGACATTAAATTATTGTGAATAGCATAATGTGTTGGAAGTTCCTATTCAAATAATTGAAATTTTATGCCAAATTGGAATATTACTAGAATTTTTTTTCTGCTTAAAGCAAAATTCTCTGGGAATCCACATAACCACATTGTAAAGAATCTCTAGGCACCTCAATGGTGTTGCTTAATTGAGTAAAATTGTTCAGGTTCTGGATTTATTCTGTATAGGAGATATTGGTGGAATGGAACATTAAAGGACAATGGTCTGTGGCAGTAAGTATTGAGGCAAAAACATGAGACATTTAAAAAAAATAACAGTGAGGGGAGGTAGAGATGTTTGTTTTCAGTGAGACATTCCCCCTATGTCAGCCTGTTTCAGTTACTTTTTAATACCAGTTTTATTAGTGATGAAGATGCTGTGGCTGGTGTATTGGATAATGGTACAATGGCCTGGTTGTACACTGTTGGCATGATCCTGAGACATGCTGTACACTTGCAATAAATCTTCAGCACTTCTCTAGATTAAACTGGGACAGTACAAGACTGGAAATTATTCTAATAGGCAGAAATAATGTACAAACTTGTTCTTGTTTCTAGAACTATATTGTTTATGAAAATCAGATTATATTCTTATTTTTAATTTGTAAATAAGTCATCTATGCACCAATAATATAATTGGAAGGCATTCATTTCATTTGGTATAATTCCTGAAAATAGATGGTGCTGATTAGACCTGTGCAACATCATCACGTTCCAAGGTATGATGAGCTGTTTGGAGGCAGACTCTGATATCCTTACACCTGAGGACTAGACTTTATGCCACAAGTGATGTCACTGAAGTCAGTGGGACTACTCAAGGAGTAAGGGACTACTCCACATGAGTGAGGGGGACAGAATCTGGCCCTTAGCGAACAAGTCAGAATGAGGGATACTATTTATTTTGAAGATGGTAATATTATTATTTTTTTATTTAGGTGCCTGAAATGCTGCACAATGATGCTAGTGATCACGGATGTAGCCGTTGGGGATATTTCCTGTTACAGAATGCTGGAATCCTGTTAGGTTTTGGGATTATGCTGCTTATCTCTGTGTTTGAACATAAAATTGTGTTCAGCATAAACCTATAATCTTGGTTATCTGATGTTGAATTGAAGCTTATAGTAGACATGGTTCTGCTTTTTCTATTAGCTACTGTAAATGAGCTCTAGGCTTTATAGGCTAGGCATTTTTTTATTGATGTATCTTTTTTTTCCAGAAGTAAAACTGAATGGTGTGAACTGTTTACACATAATGCTCAGTATTGTATGAGGTACTATAGATAACTGCGCTAGTCAGACTGCTGCACTGTTACACATGGTAAAAGTGCCAAATCCATAAAGGAGTATCACTTTTTTTACAATTTTTATTTTACAATATTGTTCTCTGATTCATTTACTGCATGTAATAATTGTGAGATTTTAGTGTCTTGTACTTTTACCTAAATGGTGCTTGCCTGTATAAACAAGTGAAATGGCCATGTTCTTCTTGTAGTATGAAATGCAAAAATTGTCCACTTTTTCTATTTCGAGAAACAGTGAATACTCTTAACATGTGGGCAGAGTGAGTATTGTAAAACAAAATATTTGAAGAGAGAAATGTAATAAATGGGATATAGGTATCAGCTATTACGGGAGTTACAAATCAGACACATGGCTTATCCAAAGTGTACCCAAGTTGAGTCAAAATATGGAAATTTCATAACAAAGCTTGCTGAAATAATGAAGCTGGGAGATATTGTGTATAATCTATGTACAAGAAAAATTACCAGAACAACAAGCTGAGGCAAAAGGAACAAGAAACATTAACAGCTCTTTTTCGATAAATGGTGTATTTCGTGTGGTGAGATGTGCTATATTTGCATCTGTATAAAACCAAACAAAGAAACTGGGTGAAATCTTGGTTCGGTTGAAGTCAATGGCAAGGCCCCAGTGGCTTCAGTGGGGCCAGGATTTCACCCACAGAACTTACCTGAAAAATGCTGCTTCTGCTGCCCATGGTGTCTCATCTTGGCTTGGTGCATGTCAGCGGGGTGTCTCCCTTGTAAATATGAAAATGGTAGTACCCAGGGAAGATCTGTAAACATTTTGGGGCATCTTGTATACTGCTTGGCCATTTTGTTTATCTTAAATATTCTGAACTCTCTGACATAGCACTAAGAATCTCTCTGCAGTTTTCTTAAATGATGCAGCTCAGCGTTTAAGCCCGTATACTTTCATAAGCAAAGGCATCTAGAAAGAACAAAGTAATTCAAAAACTTTGGCTCAGCCAAACCATGAAATCATGCAGTCTTCTCACAGGTGCGCAGGAAATATGGGAGGTGTGTGTGTGTGTGTCCACGGAATAGGGGTGATCATTTGTGGATACCAGCCCTGCAGAAAGACTTTGCTAGATTTCTCTTCAGCTTTTTTCTCTTGTATTATAAGACCAGTAGCTGTTTTTTCCCTTTATCTGTTCTATGGGAATTGGAGAACTTGCATCTGCTGTCCATGTCACTGCGGGCAGCATTCCATATTACATACTGCTTAGTGCAGTTCCTGCCCTGCCTGCTTTGTCTATGCTGCCCACTGGTGGTGGGGGTTTTTTGTGTAGTTGGAATGGGGATCCTATGTGGAGCTGGAGGGTGTCCTCTGTAGTAGCTTTACCCCTCTGCGGGATCCCACAGTGTATTTCTCCATGGTTTTCCTTCTCTCCATGGTGGTGATTGCTCAGGGCCTTTCCATTTGAGCAGTGTGTTCCAGTTCTTTTTAGCTCATCAGGTTTACGCTTTAGACAAACTTTCTTACTAAAGAGTTGTGTGATGAACATTAACCCTTCCCTCAAATCTCACTAATGAACATGCTCACTAGCATGTGGTGGAAGAAAGGAAGGTTTGGTATAGTCTTAAATTCTATCATAATTACACCTGAATAATGGAGAAAGCTCCCATTGAGTGCAAAGTCTTTAGTAAGGATGATTGGATTAGTCGAAATACATTCACTTGACAAAACATTAGTATTCTCTGTTACCATTGTCTGTGCATGCATGTGGTATTTGTGTTATATACTTGAAATGGAAATTCTGAACCTCATTATCCTTGATCTTGAAGCCAGCTTTCAGAAGCTTATCAAAATAATAAAGTGGCTAACCACTTGGTTTAATTTGAAATTGTCTATTTAGTGTTGCTGGATAGAATGTAGGTTTTAAATGTGGGACTAAAACTTGCCACACTCCGAGGTTTCAGTATCTTCCCCACAGCCCATTTGGACTTAAGTTATGTAATGCAACTTTACATGAATTAATGAGAATAAAAGGAGACGATTCTAATTGCTGGTGGTTAAATTTCTTTTGTATGAATTATACACTCCAAAACAACCTAAAATAGCACTGATCTAAAATTCAGTTCATTCCTCACTTTGTTTTGAATTCTCAAAGAGCCACACATCAGTATTAGAGACACAAGGTGGCTGAAGTAACACCTTTTATTGAACGAATAAAAGATATTCCTTCAACCCCTAATCTCCCTAATTTCCTGGGACGAACACTGCTACAACTACCATGCAATTCTATATATTAATATTGACATCTCCGTAGTAATAGAATGTAAAAATGAGGACCAGATCTTGTGGGCTCACCATGGGTCAAGTACAGGGAATCTGAAGTGAGAGCAGCTGGAGGAACTGGTTCCTGGATTGGGAACTACTACATGGAAACATTTTTGTCCCCATTTTTCCACCTTGAGGCATTCCATCACTACAAGCAATTTCTGCAACAGCGCCTAACTGAGAGAAAAAAAGATTCCCAACTGGGTATCTCCATTTGTTCTCCTTTCCTCTGAAGAAAAAGATCTCCCAGTTGTTGGCCCCTTTTGCACTCCAAGGGCCACAAGGAGATTACAACCACCCCCTGTGGTCTCCCTTCCTTTACCAGGAGAGGAAAGGAGAGAGATGCACTCTCTCCAACTCCATAGGTAGTGCCCCAAAATGTCCTACTGATGAAATGTATTTAAATCTTCTAAAATCCAGGATGCTGTATTAGAAATTTCAAAAATTTATGGGAAAAGCTCCTTCCTTGCCCCTTCCCATATTTTATGTTTAACATCACTACACAATTTCCATCCTGAAACAAATAGGTGGGGAGACCAGTGATGTGCCCCTAACCAACTCAACCCACTCTGCATGGGCATACGTGTAGCATTTGATTGCTGGCTGGCTATGGCCCTCTATGGGTAAAAGAACTCCTTTGGGAAACCTTTATTTTGTGTCCATATTTTTCCCCTTGTTGCATTCCATTGCTACAGGCTGATGCAATGCTGCACCTTCCCATTTAATATTAAAGTGATGACAATCTCCAAAATAGATCCGCCCTTGATCTATTTGAACTCCTTGGACTGAGCATTTTGAGGTAGCTCCACATGTTTGAAATAGGGCAATCAAGCAATTAAAGACAATCACAATTAATCATGTGATTAATCGCACTGTTAATAATAGAATACCATTTATTTAAATATTTTTGGATGTTTTCTGTATTAAAATATATTGATTTCAATTACAACACAGAACACTACATTGCTCACTTTATATTTTTATTACTAATATTTGCTGGAAAAAAGTTGTATTTTTCAATTCACCTCATGCAAGTACTGTAGCGCAATTTCTTTATCATGAAAGTTGAACTTACAAATGTAGAATTATGTACAATAACTGCATTCAAAAGTAAAAATTCAAGCTTTAGCGCCTCCAAGTCCACTCAGTCCTGCTTCTTGTTCAGCCAATGGCTAAGACAAACAAGTGTGTTTACATTTGTGGGAGATAATGCTGCCCACTTCTTATTTACAATGTCACCTGAAAGTGAGAACAGGCATTCACTTGGCACTTTTGTAGCTGGCATTGTAAGGTATTTACGTTCCAGATGTGCTAAATATTCATATGCCCTTTCATGCTTTGGCCACCATTCCAGAGGACATGCTTCCATGCTGATGACACTCGGTAAAAAAAATAATACTTTAATTAAATTTTGACTGAACTCCTTGGGGGAGAATAATATGTCTCCTGCTCTGTTTTACCTGCATTCTAACATGTATTTCATGTTATAGCAGTCTCGGATGATGACCCAGCACATGTTGTTCATTTTAAGAACACTTTCACTGCAGATCTGACAAAACGCAAAGAAGGTACCAATGTGAGGTTTCTAAAGATGGCTACAGCACTTGACCCAAGGTTTAAAAATCTGAAGTACCTTCAAGAATCTGAAAAGGATGAAGTGTGGTGCATACTTTCAGAAGTGTTAAAAGAGCAACACTCCAATGCGGTAACTACAGAACCCAAACCACGAAATAAAAATCAACCTTCTGCTGGTGGCATCTGACTCGGATGATGAAAGTGAACATGCATTAGTTTGCACTGTTTTGGATCGTTATTGAGCAGAACCTGTCATCAGCATGGATGTTTGTTTTGTTTTTGAGTGTAGTTATGTAACAAAAGAAAAATCTACGTTTGTAATTTGCACTTTCATAATAAAGTGCATTACAGCACTTGTATGAGGAACTGAAAAATACAATTTTATCATTTTTACAGTGCATATATTTGTAATAATATAAAGTGAGCACTGTATACTTTGTATTCTCTGCTGAAATTTAAATCAATATATTAGAAAATATAGAAAACATCCAAAAATATTTAATACATTTCAATTGGTATTCTTTTGTTTAACACTGCAATTAAAACTGATTAACTAAAAAAAATTAATTGCTTGAGTTAACTGCAATTGACAGCCCGAATTTGAACCCCTTGGATTGAGCATATTGAGGCAGCTTCACAATATCCTTGATTCTTTTTACACTTCTGCAATTTCATTAAACTTTTGCACTTTTTAAGGAGGAAATCTTGTCCTACACCAAAACCAACTAGCTAGGTTTGCAAGAGTAGATCCCGAGGGGTTTTAGGTGGAGGGAGGAATTGTTCCCTTAAACTCCATGGCAGTAGCAAAACCGCTCCATGGTGCTACAGCCATCTGTGACCTCTCTCATACTTTACCACCTCTAGCTCTTCCGTCCAGTGCTGTTGCAGCAGTCCTTTTCTCTTATAAAGTCCTCCTACCACCCCCACCCTGAATCTTATCCAAAAAGAATATGGTGAGGGTGCTGTCTATGCCTTCAATGTTCACTTTCCTCTGATTTTTGACTCTTGGCTTGCTCTCTTCCTCTCCTGACAGTCTCCCATACGCATCCTTGGGGACATCAATTTTACATTAACACATCTGATCCCTTAATTGCCCATCTGTTCTCTCACCCTCCAGACTCAAATTGTGGCCTATCCCTGTTGCCGTCTTGTGGATGTCCAGCCATCAACTGAAACGTAACATCTCCAACACCATGCTCTTAAATTGTCTCTTCAGAGCCCTCCTCTTTCTCTATCACAGTAGAGAATCAACCGAATATCACCAGTAACCACCCTGTTACATGAGCTCATTGTTACCAACAAAAAATCTAGAGCACCCCACCTATATCCTACTGAAGGCTCAAGACATGACCTGGTTAATTTAGGCACCCCCACCCTTTCCCTACCGAGGGCTCAGGGTGTAAAACACTCACCCATTCTTATGGGGCTCTTTGGGTCTGCAGCACCTTTTCGTAATGAAAGAGCCTTACACGGCTGTGCTCTAAACATCTATTTATTAGCAACACACACAATACATATGCCAAGCAAATCTCTTATGCTTACCACTCCCAATATACAGACGAACTTCACCTGATGGTCAGTCAGGACCCACTCATCTGAGGTTTCCAGCAATGCCTCTGCATATTGTGGTCATGCAGAGGGATCAGAGTTCCAGCAGGTTGATGTTGAACTGCAGTCTGGAGATGGTTCCCGAAGAGCACTGTTTTTCATTTACATTAGATGGGTAAAACTGGCTACCTCCTTTAATTTCACTAAACCCATCACGTTATTTGATACTCCTAGGTAACAAAATTTAACCAATTATGCATTGGCATCTATGTTTCCTTCTCCCTGCTCAAATCTTTTTTACATTTTATTTCTCATGCCCACATTGTAATTTATTTACGACCTCCTTTGTGCAGCTGGTCAGCATACATTTGCTGGTCAGAGTTTATATTTTCTATTTTACCATTTGTTGTGCCTCTCTGTTTCCTCCCTAAACTTCCTAGCACCCGGGTGTCACTATTTTACAACTCTTATATAACTCTTGTTTGGAGCATGCCTGACGTGGGTGTGTCTTAGCAGCAGTTGAGCATTTCTCTTAATTTTAGTGGTGAAATCCCTGAGTTTCACCTAAGGATAGTTTAGTATGAGGGTGAGTTAAGCCCTGGGCCTACACATAATCTTAACTTTATCTTTGACTCAGCCCTCTGCTTTGAACCACACATCCTCTCTGTGTCTATATCTTACCACTTCTTTCTGCACAGCTTTTCTAAGATCTAACCTATCTCTGCACAGCCAAGACTCCTGTCCCAGTCCTGATCATCTCTTGCCCTGACTCTGCTCTGGATTTTATGCCTGCCAACTGTGCCTCTTTCTAGCCCACACAAAATATGGCCACTGTTCTTTGGTCATTGCTCTGACTACATCTCCCTCCTCTTTAAGTCCCTGTCTGGTCTCCCCTTCTTCTACTGCATTAAACTCAAACTTCTTGTCCTTACTTTCAAAGCCCTCTGCAATGTTGCCCTACCCTACCTACTGTCTTATTACAAGATTAATTCCTGCCTTCATTCTAACAAAGATGCCAGTCTCCATTGCTGAAGTTGCTGACAAGCGCATTTGCATTTCTCCCAGGCCTGCCCACCTCACAAATGGGAAAAGTTCCCAATCAAAATCAGTAAGGCCACCACCCTGTCCTCCTTTAGAGACCCTCCTCAGAACCCACCTCTGCCTTAATGCACACTGGCCACTACAACCGGATGTCTAGATGTGTGGTAAATTGTGATCACTGCTGCTAAATGACTGAGATTTGTTACCCACCACCCCAGCTTGCTTGTTCGTCCTCTCTATGTCCGTCTTACATTTTAGTCTGTAAGCTCTTTGGGGAGGGACTGATGTTTGTACAGCACCTAGCATAATGGGGACAAATCAGTTTATGGTGTTAGGTGCAACCACAATATCAATGTTTAATAAAAACATCAACCTGAGAGCTGAAGTATCCTCTATTAGGGTTGTGTGCTGCCCCTGCCTACCTTTGGTGTATAGCTGGTGAATCCCTCTAATCCTCTTCAGCAGCTGCAGGCAGGGAACCTTTATAGAGCTCTGTGCTCCACAGGATGTGTGGATCCTCTCTTGACTCCTCAAATATTGACCTGCTCCACCCATGTG